CCCACCCAATACTACGGCTCGACAGTTTTCTTACTCATGGTAGGAGAGCTGCAACAGTTTTTCCTTCAAGACCATTTAAGCCTTATTCCTGCTTTTAGTGACGTCACTCGATTTTAAATATTTCGTATTAATATTCTTTATTAATATTCGTACTCATACATGAAGAATTTTTCAATGATTTTACCGTGGAAAACAAAAACCGTGAGACGTTTTGGAATTCCCTCATCCTTTACCAATAAGGCAAAAGATTTTTAATAATAGTAGAAGCAAAGTTTACGATATGCATTGTAAATTCTAGAACTGAACATTTTCCCTTGCACCAGTGTAAAATTTGTAATGGTTGTATTTTGATGGTATCATCCGAAGATTGGTCTTTATTTCATATTGTATTTGCGATTTGTCAAAGGAAGTACATATTTTACTCCTGTAAGGAGTATATACATTACGTAATAATCATTTACGTTATAAACCCAAATAATGAAGACGCTTGTTCAATATTTATTATTTTGTTGTCCTAAAAGGATTTATAATTTGTATCGATTTACAGTTAGCTACACCAATTAATAATACATATTGAACAATATACTGAGCTAAAGAGAAAATTGAAAAAGTCGGCGATGATCGCTGGAACGATCGTATAAAAGTATTGGCGAAAACAAGCGAATGATGCGCGTCATCGATATTCTACTTTTAGAGGAGTTTATACATCAAACAATCTTTGAGTTTAAGTTTTCCTCAGGATGAATAGTAAAACTTCAATAAAAACGAATATGTTGTGTCTTAAATTATACTGCATTTTAATGAAAAAATCGGGAAACGAGAAAATAGGTCCGACTAGCTACTGGGACTTATGGTAAAGACTTACAAGTATATTGCATCCTTTATTCCTTGAAGTCCCTTTACTCTATCTCATTGCGTAATAGATCGTTCCAGAACCGCATTAATAAATAAGAAGTCGTTGCAATCGTGAACATTTTTCCTGAGACCCCTCACCACCTCTTCACCGATAGCCATGCCATTTCGAGTCAAAGTAAATATCTGAGGACCTTCCGAAGTCACTTGTCGGTGCTAAACCGTGACAGTGGCTGGCGCTCAACTTTTGTTTTGCAAAGAATATTTAATGCCAGTAAGCTCTTCCACCATCCTCCCCCTTTGCCCGTCGAAGCTGTCCCTCCTTCCCCGAATCCCATTCCCGGAGAACAGTTTAAAGTCCCCAGCCGTTTCTACATTGCGTGCTCCAGAGCGAGCTCCCGTTCTATTATTGTTTACATTTCTGAGCGGTCCTTTTATTTCATTTTCTATTTCTTCTCGTCTATTGCACCAGCGACTTTCTATTAATTATATTATATTATTTCTGCTCCACCTCCATATTCCCTTCACTTGTTTGATCCTGCAATAATAACCCTCTGTTATCAGTCCATATAATCGAGGATACGGATACGGTCCGAGGATACGGATTCGTTCACAATACATGCAATTTATTAGACTGTTAATAATCGTAAAATCTGACGAACATACGAGTTTAGCAGTTCCTAACGCTTTTGCGTCTAGTCATTCCCGTTTATGAATCACGCTTAGTATAAGATTTTTAGTTTATATAGAATTTCAAAAATTTCCTACTTTGTTCACGTCCTTTTAAAGGTTTTTGTTAAACAGTTCGTCTTCTGATCTTCGCACCTAGCCCGAGGCCCCGCTACACGCTTTCGCCTATTGTCTTCTTTGACTTGTTAACCCGTTTTCTTTGCTATTCTATACTTCGTTGATTTAATGTTATGCTTCAATGCAGCACCTTGATCAACTTGATTTGACTTTTTTTCCTGTTTTCTTTTTCTCGCAATTTCTTTCTAATTTGTCTATCCTGCCTCTGGGACGCCACGACGATCTTCGAGCCGAGCTGGCCTCAGAACCGAGTATCCCTTTCTAGATATTCAAATATGAGTAGCCTTCCCCCCCCCCCC